CATATGGAATTTTTAGACTTTTAGACTTTACATGAACTTTTTATGTAATTACTTTTATATTTTTTAGACTTTATATAATTGTAACTACTTTTAAACTTAATATACTTAACATTAATATAAATAATATAAACTTTTTTTTTTTATTTGAAAACTGCTTTTAAATTTTTTAAATTCGAAATTTAACACATCGCCATATACTACTACTAAGATTTTATAGATTTACAAAATCCAATCTTTCAGGATGGAGAAAATGGATTGTGTGAAGAACTAAATATACCTAATACTATAAAGAAATATAGAATTTAATCCTATTGACATAGTTGATGATATTTTAAATACTAGATTAGAGTAAATTGTTTACATGCTATCATTATGAATTTATATCCTTTGTTTAAATACTAGTAATAGTAAAATTGCATATAGAAAAATGTTAAATAATGCTATTAATTAAAAGAAGGAGTAATTGTTATTATTTTTAGTTATATATAAATAATATAAAATATGCTAATTTATTTAATATTTTTATTTGTTTTAATTATTTAGAGATTTTTTTAATGACAAATTTATTGGTAGTATAATAGACAGATATAATAAATTTATTTGAGATTTTTTTTAATAATAATTGATTGATATTGCTAATAGATGCATATAAAAAAATCTTTGGATTTTTTTTAGTAATAGATCATTATGAAAAATATTTTCCAAGATTTTTTTCTATTTAATTAATGATAGATTAATAATAGATAATTAATGTTTCAGTAAGATTCTTTTTAGTTACCATTAATAAAAATTTTTTATATCTATAGATTATATTTAATGAGATTTGTAAAAAAGTTTCTTTTTTTTTTAATAACAACCCTATAAAAAATTTTTAGAAAATTGATCACATATTGGAGTTTTTTTGAAATGAAAACTAGAAAAATGATCATTTATTGGAATTACCCAGAAAATTTTTTATAGGGTAATAGATATGATAAAATTTTTTGGTGATTTTTTTTTAATAATAATATATTGGTATATAATGCAAATTAACAGTAAGTAGCTGCTAGTTTTTTTATGATAAAAATTGGGCAATTTTTTTATAAAAATTGAAAAAAAAAATTTTTATTTTTCAATAGAAAATTGGCCAATTTCTTTTTCTAAATTAAAAAAATTTTTATTATTTTAATAAAAATTGCTCAATTTATTCTATTATTAAAAAATTATAAAAAAGTGACCTATTTAAAAAAAGTAGGTAAATGTTTTTTAATTGTTTTAACAAAAATGTTGTAAAAACGTTTTTTATTAATAATTTTCATAAAAAAAAATGCGAAAACGTAAATCAATTAATTGCCTGTGTCACCACATTAAATTAAAATTAAAAATGTTCATATTTTTTTATCCCGTAAAATAAAAAATTTTTTTTTAATTTATTGCTAAAATAAATAATATCTTTGCTTAAATTTAAATAGTTCCCATTTTTTTTTGATTTTTTTTCTAATAAAATAATTTAATTAATTTCACTAGAAAATATTAGAAATTTTTTTTGTTCGTGTAAAAAAATTTTTTGATGATCAACATAAAAGTAAGAAATGTAAATTTCTTCATGATCTATCAAGTCAATAATGATTTTTAGTACCACAGAAGAACTCAGCGCAAAAAGTTTCCATAATGATTGTTCAATGTACTGTACTGTACTAAGTACTAAGTACTTAAAGATTAAATGGACCTTTTTTTACCAAAATGGCTAGATCAATAATAAATGAGGGAATGATTGGCAACAGAGAATTTCTTGAAATTCAAAAATTTCTTGCCGGAGTTAAAATTTTTGACAATGATCAACAAATGATCAACATAAAAAATATCCACAATTGTTGTAAATTCATGACAAATGATTATCTGGGTGTTAAAATATTAGTGTTTCTCTATTTCCAATAAGATTTTTGGCTCATATAAGTTCGAAACTCACGAGATTTTGATCAGTTCTAAAAACCGCTCAAAATTACATAATCGAACTGACCCCATCCCTAATCAGCTCTTTCTTTTTAGTTTAATATGTTTAATATGTGAAATTGTGTTTAAAAAAAAAACAATTGTCTCAATTAAAGATAAATTACTACGTGATAAATATAATAATTGTATAATAATAAATTCATTTTTCATTTAGAAAATATTACGCAAAAAGTAAATTAATAAATATAATAAACATAAAATTTAATTTTTCTATTATTTCAAAAAATTCATTTTATTTTTAATTTTTTTTGCAGTTCTACGGATTTACTAGGATTAGAATCCCGCTACAACACAAATCTGACGCTCATAATCCCGTAATTATATTATTCCCGAGTCCCGACATTCATATTCCCTACATTCCTTACATTTATTATCCTGACACTTATTATCTATTTTAATGTTAAGTGCAGATTTTTTGAAAATACAATTATTAAATATAACAAGAAACTAACCAACTACCCTGGATAAATCCAGGGTAAACTAGGGATGCCTCCAGGGTAACTACCCAGGATTTTTGATTAGTACAGCGCTTCAATAATGATGTTATATAAGAAAATATAATTCTGGCCAGAATTATACTTATAATTTTGCATTTCCTAAAATGGATGATGACCCGAGTCAACAATTCTGAAATTTAAATGACGTCATTTCTGGCCATTCTAAACATAGTTCTTCTTTTTCTTCTTTTAGCGTAAATTTGTTGAACACCACACATATAAAATTTATTTGATAATTATAATGAAATTTATCAATCTATAGTGAGAAATCCATGGTCAATGTTCAACTTGCTGAAAGGTAAATAGATAAACTGTACTGTATGGTCAGCTAAACTGTACTGTATGAAAATATTTTAGCTAATCATAACTCATTGTATACTTTTCAAATTTTTTTTATTTATCGTACAATAAAATCTGATTGGTGAGTTCTCACTTCGTACAGTACAGTTTATATGTATACTCCTTGCTGAAATACTAGTTCTAAGCTAAATTATCGTTACTTTTTAAGTATTTTTTTAGGACAAACTTTACAAATAAATCAATGAAATACGTAAGATTATTAGAGCGCCACAAAATAGGGCTTTCAATATATAAAAATAAAATTGGTAATTCTACAATTTGCCATATCTTTTTTTTAATCAGTAAAATGTTTCCAAAAAAATAATCATTAGAACTTTGTTTTTTATTACCTCTATTTTAGATTTTTGCATCATTTCATGACAAAACTTTATAACACTATCTTAATATCATGCGAGATACAAATTATAATCCATCTCTCTATATTAGTGCTTTGATCTGGATAGAAACCATTATCTGGATAAATTAAGTTCGGATATAAATTCAGATATATCCGGATAGAAACTGAAACCTGGATAAGATTTATAAAAATTTTTTTTCATTGATCAATTTTAACAAATAATATCAGTAGCATTAACTTAATTAAATTTTGACTTAATATTTTTAACTAAATTAGTGATATTTTATTAATTTTAAATAAAATTTTAATTTCGGCCGGCACTACGAATTTTGCCTGAATTATGTCAATTTTTTGAAAATTTGAGAAATGCAAAATTTTGCAATAAATACATTTTTTTTTTTTTTAATGAAGTCAACTTTATTTAGAAATAAGAAAAATTACAAAAAAGGAAAAGATCTACATTATATAACATTTAGCAAAGAACACGATCGAACTAATACTATAATATTATTAGGGATTTAAGATTTTATGTTCAAAAGAACTATCTACCATCCTGCTCACCCAAATAGGTTCACTAAACTATCCGCATAACTACTACTATTCGTATGGACTTCAGTAATATTATATAAAAACTCACCACAACTCCTTTAATTACTACTACAACATCAAAAGATAATAAAAATAATACTACGAAACACTACCGTAATCAACAATATTATAGTAATCTATTGTATTACCCCAAAATAAATATGACTTTGAAGACTTTGTAGATTAAAGTATTTCTTATTTTTTGATTTACGCGTTTTGTCAATAAACTGCTCTTTACCAAAATGTTGTTTTTTAACATTTTTATCAATTCCCAAACCTTTATCAATTTCATTAAGTTTATTACACCTCACTTTCCAAAAAATCATAGATTTATCCAAAATTTTATTCCTAAAATTATATGACAAAATTTCAACTTTTGATTTTGTAGATAATAATTGTTTAAAAAAATTAATTAACGAACAAGGAAAGAAACCTTTAATTAAATCTATGAAAGTTATGTGATCCTCTGATACTTCAAGTTTCCAAATATCATTGAGATTTTTAATATGTTCAAGAGTAATATGATTAATAGGATCTAAAATTTTATTAATTTCTAAAAGAAGCCAATTTTGTACTCCTGAAATTAAATCATCCATATCCTCTCGTCTTTCTTCACAAAATCAGATATGATTGAAATCTTCTTCATCCTCTTCACACATAGGACAAAACCTTTCTTTATATAATGAAAATAAAGTTCTTTTAATTTGTTCAATGCAAGGAAGTTCTTCAATCATCAACTGAATTTTGTTTCTTCTAATTTTTGATTCTTTGAAATCAGTGTATAATTTTTGTTTTTCTCCCAAAAAATTATTTAAAAAAATTGACCAATCTATTTCACATTTTCTATACTTATCATTTCTATTTAAATTTAAAAACCTTTCCAAATTTTTCTTATTGGTTGTTAATGTAATTAACTTTCTTAAAGATTTTTCTATAATTATGCCATTCCATTTGGGAATCCAAGGAAGATCATAAAAATTATTATAATTTAAATTAATTCCTAAATTTTGATCATTATGTGCCAAATAAACAATATTGTCTACATAATTATTTAAAGAATCATCTGTATGAGCATTAACTTTAAATATATTAACAGATAAATTATTTTCTTTAATAATATCCATAATTATTTTCCAAAGAATGTTGTTATTACTAATTTTAAAAATTTGTCTAGTAACTAAAGTAAAATTATAAAATTTAAATTTTTCAAAATTACTAATAACACTAGCACTATCTGTATAAACTGTTAAATTACTATTAGAAGGTGCTATTAGCAAAGTAATTAATAAAGCAAAAATTTCTGCACGTGTTGATGAAATCCAATTATTATAAGATGATATTAATTCCAAAATTTTTTGCAAGGACAAATTATAAAAAGTTGTTCCAAAAGTAGCTGATACATATTCTTTGGTAATATCTTTAATTGAACCATCTGTATAGTAAACAAAATCTTTAACATTTGAATCATATAAAATTTTTCTTGAATCAAATAATTTCTGTTTATCTAATGATAAATCTATATATTTTTCAATAATATCTAAACTATTTTCATCAAAACGTAATTGATAATTATCATATGAAGAGTAATATAAAGGGTTTCTTTTTAAAAATTTATCATATCTTATAATATTTTCCATATAATTATGTTGTGCTTCCTTTAGAAGATATGCCTTATATCCCTTCCATTTAATAAGTCTTTTATATACAGGTCAAAAAATGATCTATCCTACACATATTGGGTACTTATATATCGGTGACTAATTAGGCACATATCGGGCATTTTTACATATCAATAACATATCGGGTATCCGATTTGTCACCTAATGCGTAAATCTCAAAAAATATAAATTACTAGGTGCCCGATATCCATACTATTAGTCACCGATCTGTTATCTAATAAATATCGGGCACCGATATCTGTATGATTTTTTTGTCACACTTTAAAGTGATTTTTCTTGAGTTCATAGATGGACTGGCACACATAATATTTTGAATGGGTCAGGACAGGTCGGGTAACCCATTTGACCTAATCCAACCTGTATAACCTGAAATAATTTTATATTTACACTATTAATTTATTTTATTATTATCAAATATGTATATTAATAAAAAAAAAATGATTATAACATGTATTTTTATGCCTACAAGTTCGTAACACTTAAAAAACTGACATGTAATTAAAAATAAATAATAATTTATGATGCTGAATTACTATTAATTTGTTATTTTTATCATTTGCAAATGTCCAAAAAAAACAAAAAAAGAACATTAGTTAATGTTTTTAATAAAAATACTTGTTCTCTACACTTAAGATTGCTTGCTGAAACTAGGGAATTTCGGCAGAATGGCGTGTGAAATTAGTTTCGCAAAATCGGCCTAAAATGCTGAAATGCTGAAACTGAAACTGCGGCGTTTTCAGCGTAGTATATCATATGATATTATAATTTTCATATTTACTATTTATGATACTGATCTACTGATCGGTTGATAAATTTGATAATTTTTTTTTTTTAAATTATTCTTTTACGGTTTAGATTTTAGACTGAATAATTTTAAAAAAAAATTATTTTTTAATATTAAAAGATGTACAACCGCCAACGTTTCCTAATAATTAGAAAAATAAACTTAATAAACGGTTAATTTTTTACATTTATAGTAAAAGTTCTCATTGGTAAAAACCAGGATCTTTTTTTTTCTTAAGGATATTCTTCTGGTTATGGATTCCTGTTAGAATGAAGTAAAGACGGCCTTCTGGACTTTGAATTCAGCGAAATTAGGTAAGCTGAATCTGTTCTTTATTGTTTTTATCCACAACCGTTATTGACGTTCCTTTTTTTTATATTTTTAGGGTTTGGCCCCTCAGAGTAGTGAAATATGAGCTTAGGTGAATGTATGGTTATGAAATGGCATTATGAAATAATACTAACGCCATTTTTTTTTTATTTTTTAGTTTCTGGAATTCTTTTGGAGTGGAATATACGGTAAGCGTTGTTTGAGTGGGTGGGTGGTTGTATAATGGCATTATGAAACAACACTAACGCTATTTTCTTTTATTTATTAGATTTCTGAAGTGAAATATGCGTTAAGCGAACATTTGGTGGGTATATCATGTATGGTTATGAATGACGTTATGAAACAACATTAACACTATTTTTTTTTTATTTTTTTAGATTTCTAGAGTGAAATATGCGCTAAGTGAAGCTTGGGTGAGTGTATAATTATGAATGGCATTATAAAATAACACTAACACCATTTTTCTTTTATTTTTTAGATCTCCGGCTTTTTATTGAAGTGGAATAAGTGGTAGGTGTTATTTGGATGGGTGTATGGTTGTATAATAATGTTACAAAGCAACAACACTAACACCATTCTTTTATTTAGATTCCTAACTTTCTCTTGAAGCAGGATATGTGGTGGGTGTTATTTCAGTGGGTGTTATTTGGGTGGGTGGGTCATGTAGGGGTGTTACGTAACAACATGAATACCATTTTTCTTTGCTTTATTTTTTAGGTTATAGGACTTTGGACTTGAAGGTAGTATGTATGGGTGGAGTTTTATTTAATTGCTTCAAAGAAATACATTAACATATATATATATATTTTTACTTTTAGGACGCGAACTTAGATATATTATCACTGGTTTAATTTATGTTCAACAAAAATATTGTTATTTCGATAAAATAAAAATATTACAATAAAACAATAAAATAAATATAATAATGTTTTTAATATATGTAAATTTATTAGTGAAGTTAGAAAAATAAATTTAAAGGGGAATAAAAGAATAAAAAGACGACGATAAAGTTGGAAATATAAAATAAAAAAAAGTCAAACTAACACCGATTATCGGTGTGGTATGATACCAATGATTGTTATTTAACAATGTTAATATATTTCGTACAGAATTGCATATAATTTATTTTAATTGTAAAACTATTGTAAAAATTGAAGTCTGCATAATTAAATATTAATCGCGAATTAATCATCGGTAGATCAGTATTCTATATAAGGTTAAAATTTATGTTTATACAATATTGTTCTTCCTAGCCAGAAATCAATCGGTAAATTAAACTAAATAATAGTTATCAATCAATATTATTAAATAAATCAGGTGACCGATCAAAAAAAAATTACCAATCGGGTAGGTGCCTGATTGGTTAACATTTTCTTGTAATAATTAATTATATATTAATCTGTGTACATTCTACTTGCGTCACATAATCTGCAACATGCAGATTTTATCTCAGAATATAAATATCACTTAATTTTTTTTTGTAGAACATCAGACCTTTTTCTGTAATACAACTCTTGTTTCTATTATCTTATTTAATGAACATTAACTAATGTTTATTTTTCTTTATTTAGGTCTGGGCAGAAGTGACTCCCATAGTCCCATTTCAAAGTAATTTATCTTAATTACTTTTTTTTTTTAAATTTTATTTAACGAACATTAACTTAAGTTCGTTTCTTTTATTTTTTTTTTTTTTAAGGCCAGTATGCTGAAGGTACAGTTCTGGACTTCCCATTTCAAAGGTAACACTTGGAAATTTTTTTATTTTGTTTTTTTTTGTTTAATTTTACACTGGTAAAAAAATGATTTATCCTACACATATCTTACACATATTGGGTACTCAAAATGTAGAAAATCATACACAAATAATACACATATCATACACATATCGGGTACTAATATATATATCATACATATATCAGGTACCTGATAGGTATACTATATATATAAGTACCCGATATGTGTATGATATGTGTATTATTTGTGTATGATTTTCTACATTTTGAGTACCCGATATATGTAAGATATGTGTAAGATATGTGTAGAATAGACCATTTTTTTACCAGTGTTAGCGAAACGTTACTAACATTTTAAATTTTATTTTTAGGTTCTGGAAGCCGAAAGATAAGTTCCGGACTCAAGGTAACACTGAATTTTTTATTTATTTTTTTATTTTTTGTTTAGTTTTAGCGAAACGTTACTAACATCCTTTTTTTTGATTATGGAAGCTGAAAGACAAGTTCTGGACTCCCATTTTGAAGGTAGACCTTCGAAATTTTTTTATTTTTTTTAAATTTATTTGGCAAGCGTTAATAGAATGCCGGGACTGAGCTTTCTTTTCTGTAGGACTCCAGAATTTTTTAAGAAAAATGTCAGAACTGTCTTCCTCGCAGTATGCTGGCTCTCTTTCTTTTCTATAGGTCGCCAGATTTCTTGATTTCTTTTTGTAAGAACTCCAGTATCTTGGACGAATTGGATAGATAAATAGAGGTGGCATGTGAATTATAGAACGTTTCTAACGTTCTTTCTTCTTTTTTTTAGATTGCTAGACTTTTAAATAAATCCGGACTTTGGAATTTAGGTAAAAAATAGGTCGGGAGTGGATTTTTTTTATTTATTCTTTAAGAAACGTTACTAAACGTTTCTTTCTTCTTTTTTTAGGTTGCTAGACTTTTGGATGAACCCGGACTTGAAATTGCAAGCTTGGGAAATTTTTTAATATATTGAAGAAACGTAAATAATGTTTCTTTTTATTATGAATTTTTAATGAATTGGGTATCAGGTATGTGTGACTGATAGGTGACTGATAAGTAACTGATAGGTGACTAATAGGTATATATAAGGTTGCTTGCCGAAACCTAGGGGTTTAGGCAAGATGGTGTTTCGCCGAAAAGTGAAATTCTGCCGAAACTATATTAAAGTTATATTAAAAAACTGGCGAAACTTTGGAGAAAGGCGAAACTGCCGAAACTTATTATAAATGCCGAAACTGCCAAAACTCTGCCGAAACTATAATAAATCTATAGTAAAATTTTGACGAAACTAATCGTAGGATTTTGAAGAGGTTTAGACAAGCAACCTTAGGTATATACAGGTAGAAATGCATAACTTTGTATTATTTAAAGCAATAAAGAATTTAACTTGCAATTGAGTGCAATTGAGTGTAATAATTCTAGTATAAATGCATTTATATTAAACACTGGCCAATTTAAAATCAATAATTACCTAAATAGCCAATAAAAATTAATAGTTATTGTTAATCACGGGATAATGCGATTTTTTATTTATTTATCTTTCGCGTTTATTTTTTTTTTTTCTTAAACCCTTTCTCTTAAAATTTTTATTTTATCGTTTTATGTAAAATAAATACAAAGGTACATTTTTTACTGATATTTTTCTTCCTTTATTATATTATTAATATTTTTAACACTTCTTTTCTTTTCCTAATATATTATTTCTAATATCAGATATGTATCTTCCTACTAACGTATGTTTTTACTAATATATTTTACTTCGTACTAAACATTTTTTATTAACAATTATACATACTAACATAACGTTCATACTAACATATTCTATTACTAACTATTTTTATAATGTTTCTTTTCTTTTATATAAGCTTCATATACCGTAATTAATTCTGACGGCAAGTACTAACACTTCTACTACCATTTATACTAACATTTCTTAATACTATTCCTTTTCTTTTTAACAATATTCATACTAATATTTCTAATACTAAAATACTTTTAATGTTTCTATTTCTTTCTTTTAAATATCAAATTAAATAGACATAAATAATGAAATGAAAATAAGCAGCAAATGAGTGAACACATTATTTGTAGATAACAGATAAATGGCTTTTAACCTACCAACGTATAAAAGGAGGTTTATATATGCATTTCACATAATTTTAATTGAGTTTATATATCTAGAATAATGTTTTTATATTTTTTTGTAATATTCTTTAATATTAATTAATAAAAATAA